TGCCAATGTATATGATGTACATTATAAATAGTTTTCATTTTGATATTTTTTATGTCCATTTCTTTTGCAAATCTTTTTTTTTGGTCTAAATATTTCTCTTTAATACTAAAGAGACTTTAATATTAAAAATAGTTTTTATATAAAAGAATATATAATAATTTTTTTCTGAATATTTTTCAAATAATATTTTGTAATATTTTCAATATATGTGAATATACATTTGGATAAATGGATAAAATTTAATTTTATATTCAATATAATGCATAGAACTATATTTTATATATCAATATAAAACATTACTGAGTATATTAAAAAATCTTTTTTAATAAAATAAAATTTCAATTCAATTATATAAATGTTAATCTAAAATTTAGCAATAAAAATATGTTAATAATTTATTTTAAAAATACATAAATATATATATATAATACTAAAATTACTGAAAATCAATATTAAGTTTTACATTATTATTTGGCGACAAAACAACTAATAAAATAATTTGTTTCCGCATACCAGTGCTTTGCTAACTTACCCTCAGTTTATGGCACCTTTTATATTATTTGTCGACTCCGACATTAATTGAGACTTAAGGGTATTTTGGAGGTCTGTATTTGGGATGGAAGAGGGAGAAAGAGAGAGAGAGAGAGAGAGAGAGAGAGAGAGAGAGAGAGAGATGGGAGGTATACAGTATAAAGTATATATTGTTAGTATTATTTGCTGTTACTGTTGTATTATTACCGGCAATACGGTATATGTCATGAATAGAGGCATATATACATCATAATCCGTCATAATCAGACCTCTCTTTCCTCTAAATATACTCGTTTTATATTATAATAGACAGTTAGATGAGAGAGAGAGAGAGAGAGAGAGAGAGAAAGAGAGATCAGGGATGTAATGAATGAAAGAAAAAGTGTTTGAGAGAGGGATGTAAGCCATGGAGAGAGGGATGTATTGTTCAATAAAGCCGTAGTGAGGGAAATGTTTGGCCGAAAAATTACTTGTCGTTTATATTACCCTCAAATGGTTCATCGCTTCATATTTGTCTAACTTTTGAGTCAAGTTTCGTAAAAATTATATATATTTTTTAATAATTTTATTTATAATAATATCATATTAATTATATACTGTATAAAAAACTTTCGATTTATACTCTTTTAGATTATTTTTACTTTTAATGTCTTATTTATTAGTCTGTTAACTGTTTGCCATATTATTATAAATAGATATTTTTTGCCTAAAAAATAGACCGCATATATTTGAGTTATTATTGTATGGATATTAAATATTTTAAACATTTCATTTACTACTTTATATATAAGTCATATTATCTCAATTCAGATTACGGGGAACCGGGAGAGTGTTATCCAACTTATACATGCTATAAGTTTTACAAGAAGCAAACAGTTGCACATAAAAAAATATAACTTCCCTTAAAATAACTTCTTTATATAATATATAAAAATAATACCACATATACAGAGAATATACTGTATTGTAATCTGAAATCAGACACACAATGCAAGAATGTTTTTACTTTTTTTAGCTATATATTTTTAAAAAATAAAATAAATATTAAGCATAACTAATTCATGCACCTGGAGCTTCTCCCTGTCCTCCTTCTCCTCCTTCTATTTTAAATCTAACTGTTCCTCGTTGTCCTCCTGTGTCCCCACGAGTTCATATCAATTGGTTTAATCCATACTATTTTTTTTATTCACAAAATTCTCTCTCTCTCTTTCTCTCTTCTCTCTCTCTCTCTCTCTCTCTCTCAAATACTGTTAAATGCATTTTTGAATTTGATATTCAATTTCAACAAAAATCACTCAAAAAAAACGCAAAAATCTCTTTTTTAGCATTAAAGCCAATTTACTTATGAAATGGTCACAAATATATTTTTATTTATTGATTTTTTTGCCACTCGTTTGGCGCACATCGAGACATACTGTTACTGTATTGGCAATAGTGATGCACACAAAAAAAGTACTGTAGTCTAGAGATTAAATTTACATATTATTCAAACTATCAGTAAATTTTAATATATTTATATATTGTTGTATTAAATATAATTTAAAGTAAAAGTAGATTTACTGTTTAGCATAGGACTACAAATTGAAATCGTCTGTAAAAAATACAGTAAATGAGAAAAAAAAACTTATGAAATTTTTTCTAATTTTTGGATTCAATAATAATTTTATTAAAGGTTCACAAAATAAATTTAAAGGCAATTGACTAACACCACCACTACATATAATAAATAAATGTGTCGACCCTTTTTCGACATTGTTGGGTCTGTATATACCATATAAATGATTGCTGTGTAATATTAAAAAAATACAAAACAAACCAATATTGCATAAGTCTAGTAGTGTTATTCCGGTGCCATCAATAGCCCAGTGCTACTCAAATGTCTGGTGTTTACGAGTACTTGGCTTACATTGAGTTGTATGTGATTTATTGAAATTGAGAAATAATCAAAAATCAATTTCACTCTACAATATATTGAATATATATATATTCACGATATTCACGGCATAAAGCAATAGGCATTTTTTTAACTGTTGTATTGTGATTACAATTTTTACTATCTGTAAGCTCTCTCTCTCTCTCACATACACACTTACTCCCATAGATATGGCAAGTGTCACTCTCATGCAAAGTGAGCGCCTGTATGTATAATGTCTTATATGCCTTAACCGTAAGATTGATAGAACGATTGACGTTTAGCAAAAGTCTGAGAGCACTGGTAGGTTCAATAGGCAGATTAGGTCATATATTATCGCACACAATCCATCTTCAAAATAACATTATCTTATCCGTCGTGTTGGTTATATGTGCCCTCTCAAGAGCACTGGTATGTTATATATTGTATATATGCTGTCTGTTCAATGAATGCGATGGCTATTCAGCTTTAATATCTTGAACTCCTGTATTATGTAATATACAATACAATACTATTTTTTATACATAAGAGAGCTGTTGTTTTGCACTTAAACTCTCATATTTCTAACTCTCAGAGCTATTACCATATTATATATATTCACATTTTTTGTTGATGTTTTATATCTTGTTTTGATTTGTTGTGACTTTTAATGTGGCTTTTAGTTTCATAAGTTTATAGCGATATAATCGCTATATATAATAGATAGAGAAAATCATATTTGATGATACATTAAATTATTTTTTATTATAGTTTTTACAATGTTACCATTTTGTTTTTTGTTACCAGATTTAACAACAAAAAATATATTTAAATTAATTTAGTATATTTTTTTATAAAATAAGTTTTTTAAAACAAGATTTATTTTACTTTTTTTTTGTTTCTGTATTTTTCAAAGTTTCAATTTGATAAAAAAAATCTATGAAACAGTTAAGCTTATAACTAATCACATTATCAGAGAAAAAAATAATTTGTTTTGAAATCTTATATTTATTTATTCAGATTATTTAGATTTGTAGATCACTTTACTTATACCGTATACGCATATAACTGAATATAAAGATATATACTATGTATATAGCTTTATTTATATATATTTAATGCTATAATGGTTTGAAATGTTAGTACTCTCACCACTACAACACTACAACTATTTTTATTCATTGGACAACACATTGAACATAAAGAGTGAGACATAAAATCAAGTTTTTATTTGAATGACACGAATCTAACATTGAATGTAATGACACTACAGTTTAGATATAAGAATATTCTGTGTGTTATTTCTTATTTGAATGTTTGCATTCGTTTGCTTAAACATTACTGTTATTTCACTAACCATTTGAATGACAAATACAGGAATATCTATCGCTTAGCATAAGTATCTATGTTTGACATCCATTTCCTGGAAAACATTTTTATGTCTGGAGTTTCCTACAATTGAATTTATAATGTTTCACATTTGTAAGCCATACAGTCTTTATCTATACTATATTAACAATTTTGATTATGGCTGTATAATTAAATTTTTATTTATGTTTTAAATTAATTAATAATTTTTTCTCAGTAACTCAATATCTCTGTAATATATCTTTACAAAACTAAATGTTTATCTAATCTACTTTATCATTGTATATGTTTGTATATATATATATTTGCATACAATGTTATATATATACATACAATAATTTTCTCTCCGATGTATTTGTCAAACACTCTTCAATAATAATAATATTATTGATACATAAGTGTTATGTCACTGTTCTTAACATACAAAAAACTTTCAATAAGTTTATCATTCAATGCATTTAATGTTTACAAATCGCTAAAAGAAAATTGTCTAAAAATTTGAGTGATTTTGATGAGAGAGAGAGAGAGAGAGAGAGAGAGAGATTTATGAAAATCTTTTCTCCTTTCAAAGGTTTACATAGGTTTATGATAATATTGAATACATACTGCATATGAAATATATATATAAAAAATCAAAAAATGTTAGTCTGACTGTTGAATAAACAATGTTTGTCATAAAGTCATGTTTATTAAAATATTTTGATTTTTTTCTCTCTCAACACAATATTTGTATTGAATTTTCACAACAACTTGTCTGCTATAATATAAAAAAATATAAATTTATATTTATATATATTGTAATATTTTTCTTAGATTTTATTATTTTTTTATTGTATGTCATTTTGCATTCAAAAATATTTATACTTTACTATAGAAATATTTTCTTAAAAAATACTATTTTGATTAACATATTTTTGCAAAAGTTTAAATTTATAGTATTTAAATGTTAATACAATATATTCTTATTGTTAAACAATTTTAATAAATTGTCATTAAAATGCTATATTTTACAAATAATGTAAATTATACATAATTTATTTTTATACCTTAGAATTTGTATAACTAATTTAGATTAAATATCTATTTATTTATCATTGATTATAAACAATACAATAACTTTTTTTAAAAATGTTTGATAGCACACATATAAATATAATAACTGCAATAATAAATAACAAATAAAATAAAATCAATAATTTATTATTTATAGAAACGGGAATGAATGGTGATTTGTCAGACAGAGAGGACAGTCGGTCAAGTGTTGATTCGGCCGATTTAGGTCACGACGACGATAACAGCCTAGACTCAGATAAAGCGCTTAATTTGGTTAGTATTTTATTTAAAGATTTTTTTTTTATAATTAAAACAATAATGAATGAAATCATTGATATTTCATAGGCCATGGATGACGAGCCGATAGACGCGACCGTAGGTTTAGTTCACAATAACATTCAATTCAATAACAAAAACTCAATGACAGCCAACGGAAACATGATTTCAAAGTTGGCCTCAAATCGGACACAAAATAAGAGTTTTAATGATAAAAATGCCACAAATAATGGTCCAAATTTTGGAACCGGTGGCCAACCCAACTCAGGGCAACTATCGCCCAATAGTTTTGCAACAGCGGCCGCAGCTCTGGCCACTGCTGCCTCTACTAATGGCATGTCTGTCAATCAGTTGCTGTCACAGGTATTTATAGTTTAATAATTAGATACAGTATTAATATCATTAATATTGAACCTTTATATTATTGTAATAGTTGATGGCACAGGCAGGTCAGCAACAATTGCTATTACAGGCCGGTTTAGCTCAACAGTTACAACAGGCATCCAAAGTATATAATTTGTTTTATTATAATTTGTAATTGTTTTTTTTAATAATGCTAACCGTTATTAATTGTTCCTAATTTAGCTTCCGGTGACAAATACATTGTCTGGTCTAAACACTGCCACTTCAGACCTGCAACAACTGCAACAACAGTTACAACAATTACAACAACAACAACAAAATCTACAGAATATTCAACCGTTACTACTATTGCAACAACAACAACAACAAAACCAATTGGGACAGTTGGGTCAGTTGGGACAGTTAGGTCAACTACCAGCTAATCTACAACAACTTCAAGCACAGCTATTACTTCAAAATCAAGTAATTTTAATTAATTTAAATAACTTAATAAACTAATAAAAAAAAATTATAAAAATAAGAATTAAATAAATAAATAGCAAACTTGTTTGCTTTATAATACTTGTAATAAATGTTAATAAATACTTGTAATAAATACATGTATAATGTATAAAGTTTTTGTATAGAAATAATATACAAAAGAATTTTCTTTTTAAATATTAAATTAATTTTTTTTTTTGATGGCATCACAGGGTTTATTACAACAAGGTTTACTACAGCAGAGTCTGCAAAGTTTGGCCGCACAGGCGGGTCAGGGGATGTTACCACAGTTAGCCGCTCAACAGTTGCAACAATTACAAGAATCGCAACAAGTCTTGCAAAATGTCAGCTCACAAGCGCTCAATACTAACAACCAGTCCTCACAACAACAACAACAACAACAACAACTACATCAACAACAACACCAACAACAACAACAGCAATCCCAACAACATATGTCCTCTCATCATAACAATCAACAGCACTTACATCAAAATCTTTCACAACATAAACACAATACCAACTCATCATTTTATAACAATAATAATAATAATAACAATAATAATAGTTATAATAGCAATAATACAAATAAGACTAATAATTCATCGCTTATAACAACACATCCGACGCTCAAAGCAGTGGCCACTCGACCAACTGATCCAAATCCCGATGAAATGACAGACTTGGAAGAGTTGGAACAGTTCGCCAAAACATTTAAACAAAGAAGGATTAAATTAGGTTTGTTTAGTAAATATTAACAAATATTTTGTTAGAATTTTAAAATTATAAAAATTATATATTACTATGAATTATGAGTTAATTTATAGTAATTTTATGATATATGATATATTGTATTAACTTTTGGGATATACTATATAGGCTTCACTCAGGGAGACGTTGGTCTAGCAATGGGTAAACTGTATGGCAATGACTTTAGTCAGACAACAATATCACGTTTCGAGGCATTGAATCTAAGTTTCAAAAACATGTGTAAATTGAAACCATTGCTCCAGAGATGGCTGGAAGACGCCGACGCTTCGCTCAATAACCCGACGGCACTGACCAGTTCTCACTCTACACCCGAGTCTATCAGTGGTCGACGTCGTAAAAAGCGGACGAGTATTGAGACAACAGTGAGGGTATCATTAGAGAGGGCTTTCCTACAAAACCCAAAGCCCACATCTGAAGAGATAACATTACTATCGGACTCGTTATGTATGGAGAAAGAGGTGGTCAGAGTGTGGTTCTGTAACCGACGACAAAAGGAAAAGCGTATAAATCCTCCGTCGGGCTCATCCATCCTATCGATGGGTTCATCGCCGTCACCATTGCTTGGTCTGTCACATTATGGCAACCTTAATGCTCCCGGTTCTACCTCATCATCATTCAGTTCATCTCCCGTACCACATATGATGTCTGGCGGTCATCACATGCATCTCAGTCAACGACAGCACAGTGTTAGCCCCATAACAGCGCACTCACATTACCCGCAAAGCCCGGAAAGTAGGTCGCCATCATTGACACCGAACTCGGGTGTGTCGGCCCATTCCGGTCAATCTACCTCAGCCAACAACATGCCATCCCTGGCAAACATTCCAAACTCTATGGGACTGTTATCTCGACCAACACTCAAGTCTGAGCGCGACTGAGAGTAACTTTTCAAATATATATTTATATATTACTAAATTGATATTATTTTTTAGCGTAATTCATAATTTTGATAAATATAAACATTTATTAGATAAGTTAAAAGTTTATTTTTATCATTCATTATTATAATTATTTTATTTTTTAATAATTTTCCTGAATTAATTAATTAATTGTTACTATAATTAATTTTTATATTTTATTTGCGGTACCGGGGATATTGTAATATTAAGTTTTATTATTAATTTAGTTATAGTAATATCATATAAACTATTTAATTAATTAATTATCTCAATATAAAAAATATTAGATACTTGAGATTTTAATTGTTTTTATTAATATATTTTTATTTTGTAAAATATAATTATTGAAAAAGAATTTTTATTATAGAAATTTATTAATTAATATTATGAAAAATATCCATAAAATTAATGGTTTCTTAATATGTTTACATAATTAATAATAATGTACTTAATAATTAAATTAAAATATCATAAATATATCGTAGGATTTGACATAAAAAAGTACTAAAATATATAAACAAAATAAGTTATTTGTGACTTTTGTTTATAAAAAATTATTGTTTTAAATATCGTATAAAATTTTGCAATTGAACAGTAGTTCAAAATTTTTACAAATAATAATTAAATAACTTATTTTGTTTATAGATTTTGTTAATTAAAACAAAAATAAATCTATACCCATAACATTATTTATTATTAATTTAAAGAAAAACATTTTTATTTTTATCATTTTGGAGTTACTTAGATATTGGAGATTTTTTTGGAAATAATTTTAGCATTGATATAGCTTTTTAAATGAATGATACAATGAACTTAACCTTTACCTCAATTTTACATAAATGCAATATTACCTCAAATAATAATATATTTATATATTATTTAATTAATATTATATATTTATATAAATAACTTTATAAATAATTAAACATTCCTTTTATTTGATAATTCCATGGCTTTATTAGCAAAAATCAATGCATTCAATAACAAAAAAGTTCTCTAAAATCTCTTTATTTTTTTTTTATTTTGCCAAATAATTTGTTATCTATTGTTATCAATAATATGTGTAATAATAATATAGTGTAAGGCAGGGACTGATTTGGCAATTTTTCCATTTGATTTGATTATATATACTATTTATACAGTATATTATTGACTATAACTTTATTGACAATGGCATACATACAATATTATTATTACTACTATTACTATTAAAATATGTAATTCTCAGGAATTTGAAATTAGGATTACTTTTTTGAAAAACTAATGACAAAACTAATTAAAAAATTGTTTTATTTTTATTTTTTTGTAAACTGATAATTACCGCATAAATTTGATTTTATTTACTTTAATTCCATCTAATTTTATTTTACCTCATATTTTCTTAAATAATAATTATTATTATTAGAAATTATTTTTTTCTTATTCATCTATTAAATGTAATATTTAATTAATTTTGACATTAAAAAAATAATATATATATATATATATTTTTGTAAAGCATTTTATATAAATGTTATTTTTTACATCAAATCAAATTACCAATAAAACAATCAAAATAAAAATGTTAGACATATTTTGTGATTTTAATACACAATGAAAATTATAAACGGGTTATCAAATGAAAAACATTAATTAGTTTTTCATTAATTTATTGTATGATTTTAATGTCAATTAATCGGATATTTTGCTTAATTTGAAATTTATTATTTAATTAATTAATTAAAACGTATTTATAGTATTATTTTATAAAATGATTGCATAAATCATTTCCATTAAATACTGCGATCTTATCTTATATTTACAATTAAATATCTCAGGGATAATCTGATGTAAGAATTTAATTTGTATTAATTAATATATAATAATTAAATTAACAATTATATACTGAAATGATTAATTTTTTATTAAGTTAAAAAAATCCGATTTTATAATTTTTTTATAAAATACTACCTCTTAATAAATCTTAAAAATCAAAACTATATTTTTCAAAATACAAGAAAATCATATAATTATTTTTATTATTTATACGAGATTTTACATTATGAATATACAACACCACCATTACATTTAAACATTATTATAAAAAAAGTTTTATCATAAATAAATTATTTGCAATTAATCTTTTATAATTATAATAATAAATACTTTTTAATAATAAATTATATATATATATATATATCTGAGATGCAAATTTCTAGATGTGATTTAAATATTATTTTATCATCATCTGAAGATTTTATTTGCATAATATATATATATATATAAAGTAGGTAATGTGTGCCAGTGCGTCAGCTAATTGTACTGTATATACTGGTTAATTAAAAAAGTAAAACTGAAATATTATAATTAGGTTTAAAAAATATAACGACATTACTTTGATCATCATTTTAATATATATCGATTTTTCATAATATTTCATTAAAGCAAATGTCGGAAATATTATCATTAAATTTATTAAAAAACAAACATCATTTGTAAACATAAGGATCTATACATAAATTTTTAGGTCCTTATTGTAAAACACATAAAACATTATATCATTATATATAGAATATTGTCTATTCATTGTGTGAGCTAAGCATAACTGATTAGTTGAGCTTAAATACAATTGAATTTATTTGTTTGTTTTATATTATGATTAAACAATTTATTGTAAAATATTTTCAATTATTAATTTTTAAAATAAAATAATATTTACATAAATTTTCTTAATTATAATGTTATCTTTATAATATTAATGGTTAATATAAATATACACATGTATAATTTTCATGTTTTTATATTTATTATTATTATATATATATAGCAAAATTATATATGAATTCTTATTAAAAGCAAATTATTATTTTATAATTTCATATTATGTATATAACTGAATATTATATAAATTTTGATTAATAAAACTTTTTTCCTAATTTGTTGTCTATTTTTTAAAAAAAAATAAATAATTGCATTTTATAAAAATATAATTAAATTAAAAAGACTTAATACTTATGAATTTTTTATTGAAATAAATAGCAAATTAATATTTAAACAAATTTTTTTATTATCATTATTTAATAAAAAATAATTCAATAGTCAAATAATAAATAATATCAGGATTATTATAATATATCAAATGTCTAGTATTATATTTAAAATGTCTGTTTTATTTTAGTTAAATTTATTGTTAGTTTAAATGAGTCAACAAATACAGTATTAAATAATAAATTTATTTACAAATTATGAGCCAATAATTTGATATAATATTTTTTGTTTGATTTTATATCGTATACAATCATATTTAATAATAAAATGTTGTTTTGTGTTTATTTTTCACAATTATGAATATGTTTTAATGTTGTAATTCAATAAATTAGTGTCATTTGTAATAAATATAATTAAATAACATTTACTTATAATCATAATTAAAAAAAAATGTTTAACATTAATATCAATAGGTAAGCAATAAAACTAAAAAATTATAATAATAATCAAACCATAATTATAATAATATTACAATAAATCATAATATTTGCAATTAAAAAAAAGAGACACAAATGGACATATCATAACAATTTTGTTTTTCAAGTTTAATGTTAAATAACAGTCGTTCAAAATGTATAGTAATACACTATACTATAGTCAATCAAATTGATGTTTTATAGTTTAGTTTTAATTAATAGTTTGTAATTATAATTAAAATAAGTTCTCATATAAATTTTGCACATAACTATTGAAATTTGCAACTTATCTCAATAATTTAATTTGTATATAACTTAATTGTTGGTTTTTTTAAAATGTCTATTTTGTTGATAATTGATTTCAAATTTAATAACATAAATGTTTTATTCAATAATAATTTTTATAGGTTTTTATTCAACAAACAACTCATTTTCAAATTAACATTTCAATCAAGAGGTAGTCATTTAGTCACTCATTTTTTCCAATCACTTAATATACTGTATGTACAGTATATATATATACAGTATATTCAAAAACCTGATTCATTTACTTTTGATTTGCAAATTTTGATTAATATTTTCAATCGATTTTGATATAAAAAAACAAATTTAGTTTTGCTTTTCAAATGTGTAATACATATGTGTAGAAATTTTGATAAACATTTTTCTTAATAGGAACTGGTAGTCATTATATGTGTTAATTTTTAGGAACATAAGTTTTTTTTGAAGAGCCATATTTAGGAAGGCATCATATGGTCATTTGCTATCAATTTTTAATATTATTATTAATCTGTATTCAATTTACTATTTCCATTAAAAAAATTTAAATAATTTTTTTTCATACAAATAAATTATACTAAAAGAAATTAATTAAAAATATTTTTTTCTGTGTTGTTGTTGTATGTGTGGTATGTTTTTTATTTTATCAATTGCTAACAAAAAATAGTAAGCAATTGAATAAATGGTTTGAATTAGTTGATGGATTGACACCACTTTATATATATATATATATATGTGAACAATGCATATTCAGTTATGTCTCTCAAAATGTATATATTGTATAATATGAATATGCAATGGAATGTATGGTATGGTATGGAATGGTATGTAATGTCATATCAATGCTATAGGTGTGCAAACTTCGGCAAAATTGTTGACCAAAACTCGTAACATTGTTTTAGCATTATATCAATTGTTATTATTTAAAAATAATGTTATTTCATCTCTACAATCCTATTAATTTAATTTTCTAAAATAAATTAATATATATATACCTGTATTTGTCAATTAAATTTATATATCAATCTTGAGATGTATTCAATATATATGTATGTTTTTATGTATGTGTGTCTCCTTAATAAACAAACAAAAATGAGCGATGTATTCATAATAAAAACAAATATACAATATTTTTACGTATATTTAATGTATATATAGATAATCCACTAATATATTGCTACAAATAATTTCAAACAATTTTTTCGCCAAATCTTTCAATTTCTACACTATTTTATATATATATATATAATTATTGCAAACAAATTTTATTTATAAAATGTTGTTTCACGCCATTTGTTATTAACACAAGTTTTCTAAATAATTGTTTTATTAAAAACTATAAAATAAATAAATATTAAAAAATCTAACGTAATATTTTTTGTGCTAATTTTTTTTATTATTAAAAAGTGTAAACCAATGTTGCACATAATTTACTTATAATAAGTTTTTTAAAAATCACCGAGATAACTAATAATTTAAAATAATAACCATGAATATAAACTAGGTTGCTTAACAATTAAACAAAATATATATGTAAACCATAACCTTAGTTTTCAATCATCAAAATTATCCAATTATTTATATATATATATACAATAAAAGCTTATAAACACTATTAAAAATATGAAAAGTGGAAATCAATGTTATACTGTATTATTATTACAGTAGTAGTAGTATTATTATTCAGTTAAATGACATTTTTTTTATCAAAACTTTTACGAAACTACAGTCATTTGTGAACAATATTACAGATTGTGGGTAATATTGAGATATACAGTATATTAATATTGCATAATACAAGTTATGATATGATAATTATTGAGTTGACAATTCAATAATAAAGTCAATTCATTTACGTATAACAATATTTTGAATTTATCATTAAAATTAATAATAATAATAATAATAATAATTGCTACAATTTAGTGCAATTCAATCAAATCTTATTATTAATTATTTGATTTAATTAATCTAATAATCTGTTGACATATTGTATCCATTGGTTTTTTTTATTCACCCAACAATTAAGTTTTAATATTATATTTTTTAGAGATATTATTATTTTGATTTCCACTTTTTTTTGAAAGCGAGAAATAAATTAAAAAGAAAAATGGTTTTTATAGTTCAATAATAATATAATAAATATATAAAGTAATGATTTGTATACAATATTTAATGAAACACCAAAAAACCATAAATTGTTATTATCTTATTATATTTATCACTAATTGTATAATATATTTAATGTTATTATCAATAAATTTTTGTATTGATGTGTAAAAAGAGTTTGCGATAACACATGATTTATATATTTATATATTACAGTCATTTTTATAGATAAATCATAATTATAAAGACATTACATAATCACCGGATAACTAACTTTGTGTTTGTCTTCATTCGCGTTCAGACTTTACAATCAATGGAATGGTTTGTTGTGTTAATGACATACCACCTCCACCTCCACCTCCACCACCAATACTGGGACTCAATGAGTTTGAACCGTTAGAGTTGGCAGAATAGGAGGAGGCGGGTGTTAATGGGGAACGACTTTCGGGACTTGGAGGCAGCATAGGTATGCCGTTAGAGTTGTGCGGCGCCAATGAACCGGTCGATGAGGCGGTAGAGAAGTTGAACGATGAGGTAGTCGTCAAGTTTGTGGGCACCGATGTAAACGCCAACGACAATGGATTAATGGGTGAGTCGACCGGGGATTCAGAGCCTAGTCCTGATGGCGGGGGATTAATCCGCTTCTCCTTTTGACGTCTATTACAAAACCAAACTCTCACCACTTCCTTCTCCATTCCTAATGAATTACCTAACATTGTTATCTCCTCGGAAGTGGGCTTCGGGTTCTGCAAGAACGCCCTCTCCAGTGACACTCGGGTACACGTCTCGATACTCGTCCTCTTTTTACGGCGTCGACCACTCAGCGAATCGGGCGTCGAATGTGCACTATTAAGTGCCGTCGGGTTATTGAGCGAAGCGTCGGCGTCTTCCAGCCATCTCTGGAGCAATGGTTTCAATTTACACATGTTTTTGAAACTTAGATTCAATGCCTCGAAACGTGATATTGTTGTCTGACTAAAGTCATTGCCATACAGTTTACCCATTGCTAGACCAACGTCTCCCTGAGTGAAGCCTACAATATGTTCGACATTGTTTTGTTATGATTTAGCAAAATAATTACATACTCTATATTACTTATTTAATCATTATATCATTTTATATTATCAAATATCATATTACAGTATTATATCGATAATATATTTGAATGATTAAATAAAAAAGTTTTCTAACTTTAAGTAGTGCTTCTAATTTAATGTAAAAATAGATGAAAATATTTTAAAAACTAACTATTTTAACAAATTATTTGTTACCGTAATGTTATACCGCTATTATTCAGATTAAATATATTTTTATCAATATATTAATCAACAAAAAAAAATTTGATACAAACCTAACTTAATCCTTCTTTGTTTAAATGTTTTGGCGAACTGTTCCAACTCTTCCAAGTCTGTCATCTCATCGGGATTGGGATCCGTTGGTCGAGTGGCCACTGCTTTTAGCGGCGGAATTGCGTTAAGTAATGATGAGGTGTTTGTATTATTTGTAATATTATTAGTATTACTATTAGTATTGACACTATTAATAGCAATGTTTGTACTAATTTTGTTGTGAATGGCGTGAGTCTGTTGTGAATGATTGCTGTTGTTGTGGTGTTGAGAGTGGTTTGATGTCACCTGTGATTGTTGTCCACCACTCGACTGTTGATGTGATGACTGTTGTTGTTGTTGTTGTTGCGATTGTTGACTCTGTTGTTGGTTAGCACTGATCGCCGATGAGTTGGTAGTGGTATGCGGTTGTTGTTGTTGTTGTGAGGACTGGTTGTTGGCATTGATGTGTTGGTGTGATTGTGAGCTTACGTTATGCAGCACTTGTTGTTGCTGTTGTTGTTGGTGTTGTTGTTGTGATTCTTGTAATTGTTGTAACTGTTGTGCGGCGGCCGCAGCGGCCACTTGTGGCAGTACTCCCTGACCACTGGCCAAACTGTGCAAACTTTGCTGAAACAATCCTTGATGTAGTAATCCCTATGAAATTTTTATTTAATAGAAATTATTGCAATAATTATTAGTTTATTAGTTAATTAAACCAAAATTATTGGATAAAATTATTATTATATTAAAATTATATTGAATATCATACTTGATTTTGAAGTAATAGCTGTGCCTGAAGTTGTTGTAAATTAGAAGGCAATTGGCCTAACTGTCCCAATTGACCCAACTGTCCCAATTGGCTCTGTTGTTGCAATAGAAGTAAAGGCTGAATATTCTGTAGATTTTGTTGCTGTTGTTGTTGTAGTTGTTGTTGAAGATGCTGTAAGTCTGTATTTTGTGAACTGAGTCCAGCTATTGAATTGGTCACCGGTAGCTAATTATAGATAATTATAATTATATATTTTTTTAAAATTATTTCAGATTAATATTAAACTTCTGATATTTCTAAAAAAAATTAATTATTTATTTTTGTTAATTATTAGACATTAATAACTAATAAATAGATTTAAATTCAAATTATTATCTCCAATAATAAATAATCATTGAGTATATTCATTGTATGTACGCTTTCTAACTAATTTGCGATAAGTTATGTAAAATCTTGCAAATGCTTACTTTGGATGCCTGGTGTAACTGTTGAGCTAAGCCGGCCTGTAATAGCAATTGTTGCTGACCTGCCTGTGCCATCAACTGAGAATATAAATTATATTAAAAAAATTTTATATGACTTTATATCAAATCAAACAATACCTGTGAAAGAAGTTGATTAACAGACATGCCATTAGCGGCGGCGGCAGTGGCCAGAGCTGCGGCCGCTGTCGCAAATGTCGTCGGTGACAATTGTGGGGCATTAGACTGTCCACCAGTTCCACCATTTAATCCATTATTTGTGGTATTTCTATCATTGAAGCTCTTATTTTGTGTCCGATTTGATACCAACTTTGAAATCATGTTTCCGTTGGCTATCATTGAGTTCTTGCTATTGAATTGAATGTTATTGTGAACTAAACCTACGGTCGCGTCTATCGGCTCGTCATCCATGGCCTATAAAAAAATCCAATCCAATGATTTAATACATAATCATTACATTATTGTTGTAATTTAAAACTTTTATGTGAAATACTAACCAAATTAAGCGCTTTGTCTGAGTCTAGGCTGTTATCGTCGTCGTGACCCAAATCGGCCGAATCAATGCTCGACCGACTGTCCTCTCGGTCTGACAAATCACCATTCATTCCCGTTTCTGTAATATTAACCAAATATATATACATTATTAGTAATTTACTTTTTTGTTAATTTAATGTAAATCAAATCTCATGTTATCAAATATAATAGTGAAATACAAAAATATATAAATATATATTACAGTTATTTTAAAAAACATTAACACATAAAACACATTCACTTTTTTTAGTAATATTTATGTTTTTAAGTTAATATAAATTTAACTATAAATTTATAAATTCAAAACTTTATAAAAATTATTTTATTAATTAATTTAATTTATACATGCGGGATAATTATTGAATAATTATTAATTAATAAAAATTTTTAACTACAAATTTAATATAAATTTTTAAATAAAAATTCATAATTAATTTAATAAAACATAAAATTTATGTGTAATCATAAAATGATTTTTACATTTACATAAATATATTTATAATTATAAGCATAATATTTTAATTAAAAATTCATATATAATTTTACAAAATATGATGGCTCAGTATCTTAATTACGTATACATTAATTTTTGTGTACACATATTATTTATATTAAAAAAATAAAATTCATTATACTTATATTTTGAAATTAACTTTTATTATTTTTATTATTAAAATAACACTGTTAAAAATTAATTAAACTGATATTTAAAAAAATTAATTAGTAATAAGTTAATAAGTAACAAAATTGAATATTAAAAAACAAATACGATAATTTAAATACATTATAACTATTAATATCTTGCATATATGAATATAAAATTTATTGCACTAATAAAATTATTATAAAGTATTATTGTTTGACTTTATTGATAAGAAAAATAATAGTTTCTGTAAACATAATACATATTTACAATATATATTATTTTATTTCAATATAAATATATATATTTCCATTTGATTATGAAAATTTTATGAATATTTATATATGAATACTTGTTTTTTAAAGATTAGATAATATAATATATATTTTTTATATATAAATTTATTTGTCAAAAACTTTAGTTTAGTGAACTTTTTATTTAAAACAACAGTATATAAATTTATATAAAAAAATAGCAATAATTCAATGTAGAAATTATTTATTAATTATTAATAGTAAATTTCATTTAAATGCCAATGAATTATAGGCAATAATAATAATAATAATAATAATAATAATAATTAACCTACGTAGTTGAAAATAAATAATATTATTTACATAATAATGAGCATTGAATTATCAACATAAATATCTTAACAACATTATCTGTTTAATTGTTTATAAATATTAATGTAATTATTTGATAAAAAGAGTGCAAAAATCCTTTATAATTTGTTTTTTTATATTTTAATTTATATGAATTTATTTTATATGAATTATAATAACTGTATTTCAGTTAAATACAATTTATTATTAATAATTTTCAGTTTTATAATCAAAACTTTACAATTTTTCCATTTTATGTCAACAACTTTGTATGTTATTTATAATACACTGGATATTAATGCCAATACTATTGAGATGCTATCAAAACAATACTCACAGCTATACTGTAGTATGACTTTAAAAAAATAGCCGTAAAATAACAAAATAAAAATTCTCGTGTTTTTGTTAAAAAACATCGGAATTAAAACCAAAAAAAAAACTCAATACTATTCAATGAGTCACTGGTTTTAAATATAAATGTGTTTAAATTAAAGGACCCAATTGTTATTGGGGAGAGAGATAGTGTGTTGAGAGAGAGAGAGAGAGAGAGAGAGAGAGAGAGAGAGAGAGAGAGAGAGAGAGAGAGAGAGAGAGAGAGAGAGAGAGATTTATTATTCACGTATTTTGGAATTTTTATCAAAAAAAAAATAAAATAAAATAAAAACCTCTCATACAGTGAACGATAAGAGATGTGAAGCATAAGTGAATGCAAACAAAATAACGGTATTTTTTGATATTCACTTTCATTGTATTATTAGCGATACTGTAGGACTGTTATTGGGTGGTGTAATGTGCGTGTGTTTGTGAGTTTGTCTGCAGTGTGTATGAGCACCGGGATGTGTGTCTATCAAAGTATACAGTATAATGCAATAGGAAAATAAAAAACGTAGAAACTATGCGCGTATTTGAATCTCTTATGCAAATGGAGAGCACACTTACGTATTGTATATATTTATATATCTATATATATATATAAATACAGTGAAACATAATGGTTATGGTTATGCAATGGTTATGCATAATGTGGTGAATATGTTTACAATTATACGCAAACCTACTATATATAGCTTTTTATATACAGAGTATAAATTCGGTTCCGGTTTCTTCATTCACTGTGATTACAGTGTTTTTCAGTGTATTTTTTTATTGTGTATATGTTTAGCAATGTTTCAATTGAAAGACCATATAAAATATAGTAATATATATATATATACAGTATTTTACATTATATATAAAAAACAAGTGGGGTATCGCATAACAAAATCAATTTATGACTAGATTATGCATATCTTAAAAGCATTATTATTATTATTATTATTTATTTTTTTTGTCTCTGACGACACATCCCTTTACATTGCATTGACATCCCATTGATTGCCAAATAAAAAAAACTTCTTTCAATCACTCATAACATATACTCAGTAAACACTTGGAGTTAGTCTTGAGATTCAAATCAAACACGAGTTGGCTCTCAATATATAATATACAGTAAATGTGATGATTTGATCCATGAATGCTATGAACAAACAGTCAAACATAGAGTCATATCATTAGATACCGGTGTTTGACTTATTTGAATACAATATGTTATTTTGTTATCACTTTCAAAAGTACAGTAAAACTTAGTTATAAATAACAAAATTTTCTAAATTTATTTTAATAGCTTTTTTATACAAATAAAAATTATCTAGAAATGTTAACATTTACTAATATAAATTAACTATTATTTATTTATAGCTAATAATAGCTGAATTAATAAAAAATTCAATTAAAATTTACTAAATATACTATAAATTGCTTACATTAAACAATATATTTATTATTCACTATTGAACTACGGTATCAATATATAAATATATGTATATACAGTATATAAATATATTTTGTTTAACTAAAGTAAAATACATTATTCATTGGATTTTCATCTCATTTTTACAACAAAACACTGATATCATAGTAGTAGTCAAAAAACATTTGACTGAGCATTGGATGGGAGATAAAGTCAAGAGTATAAAAAAATTTATGCAAACAAAACAAACTTTTATTTTTTTATGCTATTCTCATATATGGAAATGTATGTACTCTCGGATGTCTTGTTAACATTGCATAGATATAGAGCTGACATTTGTATATATTATAATCAATGGAAATATTTTTGAGTACATTATTAAAAGCATCACTCAAAACAAATATATATATATATATATATATATATATATATATATATATACAGTATATTTGTTGACTATTTAAATAAAGCTTTTATACAATGAATTTCAATGTTTTTTACAGTAACAACAAAAAATATTTGTAATAAAATTTCGTTAATATTTGTAATAGGTTGCAACAAAAATTTTATCTCATATATTATATATGTATTTTAGAAAATACAAATTGTTTTTAAGCTTTCGTTTTTTTAAAAAAAAGATAAAATATATTTCATTGTATGAATATATTTCAATCAAATTTTAATATATGATTTAAATTTTAAAATATATATATATAATATATGAGATACTATTAGAAATGATTATTTTTCACAATTTTTTTTGGCCACACGTGTGAACAAACATTAAAGACCAGACATATTAAGTATTTGGGGGGATATTTAATATTGAAATACAAAGTAATTTAATGGCAGACAGTGAGACACCATTGAGATAGTGGTGACTAAATTAGAGAGAGAGAGAGAGAGAGAGAGAGAGAGAGAGAGCAAATTGTATTGTATAAAACTTGGAGTGAAAAAAAGATCTCAATTTTGGTCCCAATATTTCCGTTATTTTAAAGTGTGATTTAGTGCCATAACTGTTAAGCTTTATTATATGGAGAGTAAATTTTTTACACTATTCAGTTGTACTGCCATTTGACTATACTATTGATAGGGAATGGGGAAGGGGAACGGTAAGTGGAAAGTGAGAGTATGTCTGGCTATAGTAGTACAGTAGTAGTCATGTGTTTGTCTGTTTTTTAGAGGGAAAACAGCTTTACAACAAACATAACTTCAAGCGGGAGGAGATGGAGGTCTACAACAGTGTCGGCGAATACGGGGAGTGTTGGGAGTCGGGGAACATGAGAGGGGTATTATATTTATAGTATATATGCTGTATATAGATATAATATATATATATATTTAAACTCGTATACAATTTGAAGGATTATGATATATCTGTGTTACAGTGTGTGACACATAACATATTGCTTTGATTGTGTTTTTATGACTGCAAAGTGTTATAAAAAAGCACTTTATATTTGACTTTGAGGTTCAACCCAATTGTCACCAAATCTTTTTTAAATACTTGCTATTGCTGTCAATTTGATGCTTTTCAATACACTATATGCCTCTTTGATTGAGTAAACAATACACTATATACCGTATATAGAGGTTATATATAATAGCTAATTGATTTATATGGCATGATTTAAGTGGCTTAATGTGAGAAAAAATTTCATAAATCATGTTATTTGTTAATACAATCATTTAATAACTAATTACATAAAATCTTTATAAAAACTATTTGTATAAAGAAATTTCTAATGTATTTATAAAATTTAAAATTTATATATATTATTAAACAAATTAAAGTTTATAAAAATTGTTTATGAAAACATGATTAAATTTTGTTATGTATTTTAATGCATTATTAAAGCACATAAAAACATATTTTCTCAAAAAAAGTTTTTTCTATTCATAAAATATGAAAATTGAATTTTATATTTCTTTTGTTTTATTTTATTTATGTTATATCTATTTGTTTTCAAATAAAATGATTGTAATCTCTTTTATTTTGTTGTTGTTGTCTTTGATTCAGTTGTTTTTCAAACATAAAACTA